CCATTCCATCTCTCTTCTGCTCCATAGAAAGTCTGAAGCCTTCCATGGGGGATCATCAAAGTCTGTCACATCATTTGGAGCAGGGCCTAGGCCCTCCCCCATGTGTCTAAGCTGAGAGAGTATCCCTCAATGGGAAACTGGCTCCCACTGTCCATTTGTACACTAGGGATAAATGCTGTTCCATTACGAGGGGCCCCATAGACTGCCCAGGTCTCCTAACTGACACCCACGTTCAGGGAGCCTCGTTCTGTCCTATGCTGGTTTCTGAGCTGTCAGTCTGGGGTCCATGAGCTCACCCTTGTTCAGGCCACTTGTTTCTGAGGGTCTTCCCAGCCTGGTCTTGACCCCTTTGCTCATCACCCCTCCCTCTCTACAACTAGATTACAGGAATTCGGCTCAGTGCTTAGCTGTAGGTCTCTGCTTCTGCTTCCATCAGCTACTGGATGAAGGCTGTAGGATGGCATATAAATATCAATCTCATTACAGGGAAAGGCATTTAGGATAGCCTCTTCACTATTGCTTAGAATCTTATTTGGGGTCATCCTTGTATATCTCTGGACATTTCCCCTGCCAGATTGCTCTTTAAACCTATGATGGCTCCCTCTATTAAGGTATCTCTTTTCTTGTTCTCTTCTCTTCTTTCCCCGACTCAATATTCCTGCTCCCTCGTGTCTTCCTCCCCCCCTCCTCTTCTCCCCTTCTCTTTCTCCTAACTCCCTCTCCCCTCCCCCCCCATGCTCCCAATTAGCTCAGGAGTTCTTGTCCCTTTCCCCTTCTCCGGGAGACCATGTATGTCTGTCTCTCTTAGGGTCCTCCTTGTATCCTAGCTTCTTTGGAGGAAGCACCAACGATTTTAAGTGTTATCTAATTTAATCTTGTAATCTCCCCCAAAACACATTCTTAACTGCTGAGCCATCTCTTTGATCCTTGTTTTTGTTTTTATTTGTGTATTTTGAGGCAGGATCTCATGTAGTCCAGGCTGGCCTTGAACTCATTCTGTAGCTGAGGATGACCTTGAACTTTCACTCTTCATGCATCCCCTTTTCAAGTGCTGGGATTACAGTTTTGCACCACTGCTGCAAAACCAGATAATTTTATCGCCATCTTTCAGATGAAGAAATTGAGGCCTTAGAAGATTTATCATCAATAAGTTCACAAGAGTTCCTGATGTAGGCTTGGGTGGTAGCACACACCATTAGTGCCAGCACTCAGGAGCCAGAGGCAGGCAGATCTCTATGAATTCAAGGCCAGTCTTGTTTACAGAGTTAGTTCTAGGGCAGCCCAGGCTACACAAAGAAGCTGTCTCAAAAAACAAAAAGGAAAAAGTTCATAATACATAGCTAACAAATAATATTTATCACAAAGCTACACATGTAACACACTGTTGGGGTCTTTTCCAACATCTGTCCTACCCCTTCATTGCTAACTGAATTCTGGTTGTACAGATAGCCATCTCTTGTGCAATGAACTTCATTTCCAGTATGGCTGGCCCAGGTATCATGGCAAACCTAATTTCCCTGTCAGTTGTTGGGTTAAAGCATGGGACGTTAGTCAGCTCTGGCTAAAAACATGGGGTGAGAATCAGTGAGGAGCATCTAGGAAAGATTTTCTCACTTAAAATTTTTTGAGACACGTTTTTCTGTGTAGCCCTAGCTATCTTGAAGGAACTTAGTCTGTAGACCAGGCTGTCCTCAGACTGACAGAGATCCACCTGCCTCTGCCTCCTGAGTGCTGGGGCTAAAGGCATGAGCCACCATGCCTGGCTCTGATTTTCTCACTCTTATAAATAAGAGATGGGGTGGTCCCTCTTCTGTTGCTGTGAATGGAAGATCTGGGTGTGATTCTTGGAACTGTGGGAATCCAGCCTAAGTATGCATCAAGCTGAGGTTAGCAGAGCATAAGATGCAAATAACCTGGGTCCTTGGGGAACTTACCATCCCTACAACTCCCCTACTCTTGGGCTTCTTGTCATGTGTAATTATAAAATGTCCTCCATGGTCTTAGCCATTTTGGGTCCTTGTTTATCCCTAGAAGCTGAAGACAGCCTATCTGATGCATACACATTTTCTTACTTGCCATAAACCATTGAGAATAGTGGTATTCACTCTTTTTTTCTTTTTTCTTTTCCCAAGACAGGGTTTCTCTGTGTAACCCCGGCTGTCCTGGAACTCACAGAACTTCATCTGCCTCTGCCTCTGGAGTGTTGGCACGTGCCACCACTGCCCCGAAGTATTCCTTCTTTTCCATACTGTAAAATGAAGCCTCAGAGAGGCTGGGTGATTTATCCAAAGTAACAAAGATAGAAAATCCAAGAATACCATTCTGAACCAATTCTTAGTTATATCTTATCAGCTATATGATAAAAACTGAGCCCAGCCCACTTGGCTGGCTCCAAAGATCATAATCTTTTATTTACATTTCATTGTCTCCCAATTTCTGGGGTAAAATTTCCAGAGTCCTGTATCTTTGATGTGAGGTACTTAAAATATGATCTCCCTCTCCTACGAAAACGAAAAGGGACAGCTCCAGGATGCAGTATAGAAATGGTGACAAGTGGCACACCAGCTGGCTTGGTTTTGGTCCCCTGTTACCAGCAAGCTGGGCCTTTACCACTTGAGATTGAGAACATCTGGCAAAAAGGAAAACCTACATCATAAAGAGACTAACTGTGGTGTCTAGGCATAGGAAATTCCTCTCTTGGTACAGGCATTTAGTTCCACCCGAATGGGCCTAGCCACTTTTCCACTGTCTAGTGGGAAATGCCTTGGCACCATGTCCTCATTAGAGATGTTCTAAGAGACTCTTGTCATCAAACACAAGAATGGATCAAACGATGCTTAAAAACCATCCCTATGCCAGAGGTTAAGATGGCATGGAAGATACCAGGAAGCCTTTTCTAAATCTACCAAATAATACAGCAGGATGGAGGACACAATCCATTTCTATAAATATTTCTGAATACCTTGCATTTACCAGGCCCCGGTGTTATAGACTGATAATGTCCAACCTCTGTGATCTAGGCTCTAAAGCACACCACCAAATAACTAAAATAAATAGATGAGGTTGGGCAGTGGTGGTGCATGCCTTTAATCTTAGCACTTGGGATGCTGAGGCAGGTGACCCTCTGTGAGATCCAGCTTGGTCTACAGAGTGAGTTCCAGGACAACCAGGGCTACACAGAGAAACTCTGTCTCAGAAACCCAAACCTAAATATATAAGTAAAATAAACAATACCCAGGAGTGTGTGTGCATTCATGCTTATATATATATGTGTGTGTATGCATTCATGCTTGTGTGTGTGTGAGCACATTATGCTTATATGTGTGTGTATGGTCATGAGTGCAGGCAGAAGCCATAGCTCAACATTAAGTGTCTGTCTCTATCAATCTCCATATAACTTATTGAGGCAGAGTCTCTCCCTGAACCTGGAGCTCATGGATTCAGCAGGACTGTCTGGCTAGCTGGCCCCAGAAATCTGTCTCTGCCTCTCTAGCCTTGGGATTACAGGCTCAGATGGGCTATACTTGGCAAGGGAGAAGGAAGAAAAGAGGTGGGGTGAGCGAGATCCTTGCCTGAAAATCCTAGCAGGCTCCATTCCAGCTGGAGCATTTCTTGTTGAAAATGAGAGGAAGGGAAGCCAATAAAAAGTATTCTGGAGTCTTCTTGGGTACGGAACCACATGCCAGCACAGATAACTTGCTTTGAATTTGGCAGAAAAGGGGAAGCCGCTGAAGGATTTTGAAATATGACACATTGCATTGTGCTGTAATGTATGTTGATTCTGCAGGCATAAGCAGGATGGTTGTGGGAGAAGACGGAGAGCGTGAATGTCAGTCTGAAGGCTTAGGGGAATCTCTTCTTCCTGATCCTCCAGTGAAAGCACTGTTTCTGAGACTAGTGGGTCCCAGGTGTCTGGCTCACTATAGAAAGGCAGCCTGTGTGAGCTGGGAGGAAACTCACACTTCATTGAGGGTTGCCGCCCAGCTGGGGGCTCACACATGTCAGAGTGTACACAGAAGAGGTGCTGACAGAACCAGAGGACTGGGATCAGTTACACAGGGAGAGGAGGCCAGACTGCCAGAGCTGAGCTGCAGAGAATCATTGCTGAAGACAGGAGGTCCCCATGAAACCAAGGCAGCCTCCTCCAACCAGCTGTTGGGAGCAGAAAAGCACATCCAAGACTCTAGGAGAGCTAGAGGGTACAGATACTTAGAAGTGAAGGTCAGTACTAGGATGTGAGGAGAGACGGCTGGCAGGTGAGTGGCCGGATCTAGCGACCTTCTTCCTGAAAGCTAGGCCAGCTCTCAAGCCCTTACAAGTAAAGTGCACCTCAGTCTTCTGACCCTAGACAGGGGTGTGGGCGGATTTGCACTAACATCTCCCTGTGGTATTACTGGCCACAGAGAACTTTGGCCATCAGCAGCCTTTGGGGCCTGGACAAGCCCTTTCTCTGTGCGCTTTTAACTTCTTTCTACTTGATTCATCACTTATTTGAAGTTCCCAGAGTCAGTGTTGGCCTCTCTTCTACAGGCTCTGGCCAAACATGTCTCCTACACCTTTAAGACTAGCCCACCCTGCACATTCCTTCCTGATGGTCTGTGAGCACTGTGAAATTTAATGAAAGTGAGGTGGTCCCGTGAAGTCATCACTCTACACAGCAGACCCTGAAGATGACAAACAAGTGAAGGGAACCGGCTGAGGAGAAAAGTGCTGTCTCCTCAAGGACAGACTTCGTTTCTTCTTCACAGAGGCCGGCTGTTCTCCATTTCCTGAAATGCCTGCCATGGTAGTTTGACCTCTGTGTCCTAATTTTTAGCAAGACACTGATACTAGGAAATATTTTTCTTCTTAACAAAACCCGAGAACAGAAGCATGTGACAAAAGGGTGTGGCAAGTCTGCAGAGTTACACAACACTTGCACATAGCACCTAGGACAAACAATCCTCAGGACAACCAGAATAAGGGTAGCCAGACCTGGATTTGAAACAGCAGCAAAACTAACCATTTCAAACCTGTATCTGGAGGCAAGCAAAGCGTATAGGAGAAACCACGAGGGGATTTACAGCCTGTGGGTTAATCTGAAGTCTTAGCTTGGAGCTGAAGGCTTTCACATTCTGACCTCAATCTTCCCTTGCTTACTTCCCCCTGTCTTGTCAAGCTCTTCCCACTTCACCAGCCTGCCTGCAGCCCCCTAGACTCTGTCTGCTCCTATCTTTCCCTTCAGCATCGCTGGTCTCTGCTACAGTAGAACCTTTCTCTGCCTGGGAACCTCCTGCAGTCTCATGAACTCAGGCCATACACTTCTTGGGCAGTGTTGCCCTGCCTTGTGCAAGGTCAGGCGCTCTTCGTGCCTTCTCTGCCCACACTCACTCTGGGCTCATCCTTAGCTTCTGTCATAAACCCTCACAGTATGCCATTTGAGCCCAGGTGAATCATCCTGGCGCCAGGGCTTCTCCTGGTAATTCGCTAGCTGCCCTCAGTCCTACTGCTTCATACACTCAAGCTCCAAGTCTGCCTTGTTTGCGTTTCCACTTTCCCCTCAGACTAAATTAGTTTTACTCTGTTGGCATTTTTCCGACCTAAGTTTTAATGTCAGATACTATGAAAGTCATTCCTCTCAGGACACTCAGGTTGGTGAACGAGAAGGAAACCACAAGTTTCAGATCTGCGAAGGACGTGATAAATGCTACAATAGAGAGGAGGGGAGGCTGTGAACGAAGTGCTCCTCCCGACTCACCAAGGTCCAGAAGTGGGAACTTCCATGTGGTCATACAGCTGGGAACAGAACCTGGGTAAGAACCTAGGCCTTGTTCAGCTTAGAGGTGTCCCACCCCTTTAATTCCAGCTCTCAGGAGGCGGGAGCAGGAAAAACCTGCTTGAACTACATTATTGAGACCTAGTCTCAACAAACAAAAATAGCAGGGCTATTTGGGGGGATTCTCCTGATCATTAGTGGCTTGTGCAGGGAACCAAGTTTGGAAACTGTCCTGGAACTTTCTTTGAAGACCAGGCTGGCCTGGAACTCACAGAGATCTGCCTGACTCTGCCTCCTGAGTGCTGGGATTAAAGGCGTGTGCCACCACCACCCAGTGAGGAAAATAATTTAGTGTACAGAACAATAGACTAAGATTAAAAGTCTGGCTTCACCAATGTCTCTCTGACTCCATTACCCTGAATTTATGATTTCACAAAATGCTGGCTGAATTGGATTGAAGTTTTAGATTACTTCCAGTTCTTCATTGTTACACAAGACACAGGGTGTGGAAGCTTCTGGGATTTACCTACTTATTTGTTTATGTTTATATTATTTTAAAGTGTGTGTGTGTGTGTGTGAGACAGAGAGAATGAAAGAGAGAGAGAGAGAGACGGCACATGTCTAAATCAGAGTACAATCTCTGGTGTTGGTCTTTTATTTCTACCTTGTTTGAGGCAGGGTCTCCCTGTTGCCTGCTGCTGTGTATGTCAGGCCAGCTGGCCCACAATCTTTGGAGGATTCTCCTGTCTCTAAGCTTGTTATAGGGGTGTTGGGATTACAGATGCCCATGCAACTATGTCCAACTTTCTGTGGATTCTGGGCATTTGAACTCAGATCTTCATGCTTGCACAGCAAATTTACCCAATGAGCATATCCCTACTCCCTTGTCTGTTTCTTGGTTGCTTTACTTTTCCTAAGATCAATTCAAGGGTATAGATAGAGTCCTTTATGGCTTAGGTTCTGAGATTTTGACCCAGGAAATCTGTTATATCGACTACATGTGTTCTTCATTGCTTGCAATACAACAGACTTTTTTTCCTTCTGGCTTCAGCTTTTCTTACTTTCAAGAGCCTTCTATACTGGGGGAGGGGCAGGAAAAGAGAGAGAGAAAAATAACTTCATTCTTCTGCATTTTTTTCCAAGGAATGTATTTCATTCTGTAATCAGATCAGCAGAAAAATATATATCAGGTTACCCTTTCGGGAATAAGAATGTTCTCTTGGGAATTGTGGGAATGTTCTCTGGTCTGGCTAGGCTGGAAGTGGAAGAAACAAAGACATCTGGAAATAGAGGCTCTGAGTATTTGGGCGGGATGGACAGCAATCAACTGTGAACCACTTAATTGTAGGGAAATTTCTTCCTTGATGCTTATACCATTCAGCACTTGTTGGGAGAAGATAGGCATGTTCATTGGTCTCCTAGAAAGCAGGATTAAGTGTTATTTCAATTAGACAATCATTCAGGAGATGCCTTTCCTAAAATAATCCCTGTGCTGGTTGTTCAAGATCATCCCTTGAGTCATATTCAGTTTACATGAGGGGGTGTGTTACAGGACCAGTTAGCCCATGAGAAGTCCTAGAAGGGTCTGGGGATAACTCAGTTCTATCCCTAGCATGCACATTAAAATGCCAGTCATGATGGCACATGCGTGTAATCCTGGCACTAGGGAGATGGAGAGAGGGGGATATTTGGGACTTGCTGACTCGTCAGTCTATCCAAATGGGTGGGCTACAGGCTCAGTGACAGACCCTGTTTTAGTGAAGGTGGGAAGTGATACAGGAAGACAAATGGTGCCAACTTCTGGCCTCCACAAGCAGAGGCATGCACACTCAAAGTCCTAAGGAAAAAAGACACAAGGCAATATAGAATGTAAGATGAGGTAATTAATGCAGATAAAGCTATGGAATGCAGGAAAGATAATAACAGGTATGAAGAATGGACAGGTGGGGAGACTGACACTTATCAAGCACTAAGTTAAGTTTCATAAATCAGTGAACAGAACTAACATTACCCACTCAGTCCACCCTGTACCTATCACTGAGCTAGGCACTTTACATGGTTTCTCACAGGATGTCTTTTAAAAAAAATCCCATATGGAGGTATTGTGTGACACTATTCCTGAGGAGACAGGAACCAATCTCTGCTTACCTCAGATAAAGAGTGGATGACACATGAGTCCAGCTTCAAGAACCAAGGGGTTTTATTGGTGTTACTTAAAAGAATATGGGTGAGGGGTTACTTACAGAAACAGATTGACTCAAACACAGCTGTATTACCTAACCCAGCATGCATGGCAATTCACAAAGCTGGAAACCTGGCACACACTGCACAGTCTTTAGGCAGCTCCACAGGCTGCATGATATCCTTTCTCAGAGGCTCAGCTGGTGTGAGCCTCTTCTAAATAGTTTGGCTGGTCTTTGTTTCTTCTAGACAATTCTGCTGGTCTCTGCATCTTTCAGGTGACTGGGCTTGGGTGAGAGTCTATTTGGAGCTTGGTCTAGCTGAGAGTCCCTCTCAGCAGTCTCTACTACTTAGGGAGGGAGGGCCCCAGTGAATCTGACCAGTTTCAGGGACTTCCTGAAATTATTGAGTTGTTATTTCTTGTCTCAATGTTTTACCTTCCCTTAGAACATCCCCTGTTGTTCCTTCTTGTGTACATCATGTCATAAAATGATATTTCATTCCCCTTTACATCCTATGTCTTAAGAAGTTGCCTCTAAAGTAGAAGGTTTTAATTTCAGAAGAAAGAGCTACACACCAGGAGGGTAGGCACTGTATAACACAGTGATCTAGTGCTAGTCTAGTGTGTGAGACCCTAGGTTCAATTCCCAGCACAGAAAATTCCATATGGAGGAAACTAAGGTACAAGAGAAGTACTTGCAAAAAAGAAAAAAGAGAGAAGGAAAGAAAGAAAATAAGGAAGGAAGGGAAAGAAAAACTTCAAAGTAGAAGACTTTGGATTTAAATTCAGATCTTTTCTGATTTCCGTGAACATTTTCTACCTCAACTTGTGCTTAGAAAATAGTGATCAGTGGCTGGAGAGATTACTAAGTAGTTAAGAGCACTTGCTGTTCTTGAGTTTGGTTCTCAGTGCCCACACTGGGTGAGTCACAACTGCCTGGGACACCAGTTCCAGGGGGATCTGATGTCCTATCTGTACTGCATGCACTTGGTGCACATATACATAAGCAGGTACACAATCATACTCATAAAGTGAAATAATTTTTTGAGATTTTATTTTACGTGTGTAATGTTGTATCCCATCTTTTGGGGGCTTCAGTCGGATCCAGTCAGCTTGCTTGGTTCGTACCTGAAAGGAGGAGTGTGGATTGAGAAATGGCAGATAAAGACGCTAAGGAAAAGAGAGACATAGAATAGAGTCAGAAGGGAAATCCAGTGAATACTGAACACCCCAAGTCTATTCTTCAACATTCTTACATACCCCAATAAAAAAGGGGAACATGGCAAAAGTCTTCTTTATCAAGATACAAGGAAGAAATAGACCTTCCTTAATTCTCCAAACGTTTGGTAACCACACCTTAGACTAAATTTCTCCTTATCTGGCCTTGAGGGTCAACAGTAACTACACCTCAGAGCAAGGGATGGGGCTTTTCTTAAAAAAAATATTTCCTACCTTTTAAGATTTATTTATTATGTATACAGTGTTCTGTCTGTGTGTATGCCTTTAGGCATGAAGAGGATACCAAATCTCACTACAGATGGTTGTGAGCCATCATATGGTTGCTGGAAATTGAACTAGGGACCTCTGGAAAACCAGCTAGTGTTCTTAACCACTGAGCCATCTCTCCCAGCATGGGAGGGAGCTTTTAAAAAGGGAACATAGTGAATATGTACAGGTGGTGCTCTTAGTGGCTGTAGCTGAGGGCATATCCTGTCATAACCCCAAGGACAGGCCAGTACAGATGCCTGAATACTAAGGGGGGGATTAAACATTTACAAGGTGGGGGAGATAAAAAGATTTGAATGCCTTCTTGTAAAAGTTTTATAGTGTTAGACAGAAAAGACTAACATGTAATGCTTCTTATACTTAAAAAAAGAGAAAAGATTTGGGAGTGGGAAGGGGTAAAGATGGTGCTGGTAGAATAAGATTGGCAGGGGTGCCACCACAGGCGTGAGGGCAGGTGCAAGGCTTGTTACAGGAAATCCAGGCAGAGTGCTGTGACTGGAAATGCCTTCTCAGATTCAACTCAACATTCGCTAATGCAATGATTCATCAATCTGAGCAAGATCCAGAGTTCCCAGAGCCTTAGGCTGCACTCTCAATCTGATTGTGATCTGGTTAAATTACTGCTATTAACACTGATGTCTTGTGATGCTTCGCAGGCCATGTGAGCATGCACATGTTTGCGTGTGTTTGCATAGACTCATGTGAACATGCGTCTATTTCCTTTGCTCCATTCCCTTCCCACAACCAAATTTCCATACATGACCCTTGGGCTCTCCGTAAGCATGTGTTCCTTGATTACCTTAACCTTTAGTGAGGCATGGATTTGAACCACTAACCTTAAAGTGATAAGTTTAAAGCCCATAGCATCACAACAGCGCCCTTTCCACCCAAGAGATGCCTGACCTGATCTTTACTAGCTCACTTGGGAAACTATGATGCCCTCTGGGATATTCCAGGGAAAGATCTTAATTGGAACTGACGATTCCTCTGCAGACTGCATGAGCTCTCAGCATGTCTTCAAAGAGAATATGCCTCCAAGCCTTTTCTCCAGCTGGCTGGGGAGGAGTTGATTTTTTTTTTTTTTTACATTTCATCTCTGGCAAATCACAGCAGAACATCACAAGCAGCTGGAAACTCTCTGAGGTGAAGACAGACTGGATATTATGTTTGGATTTATCATCCCCTCCCCCATGGTAGCTGATTTCCACTTCTGACAGGGTTATTATTTCCATCTTTAGGAACTACCTTGGACCTCGACTTGGATAATTGCAGATTGTCATCAGTCCCTCTCCTGAAGCATTTTAGCACTTGTGTGAACCTTAAAAACTCCTACCTCTCCACCATAAAGT